AGGCCGTGCAGTCAGACTAGCTTTGCCCACAGCACGCTTCAGGCAGGACGACGCTGCTGTAGAAGCCGCTGAATCTTTGCAAAGACTTGGTTTTGCTCATTAGAGAATTAAACTAGCACAGCCAGGCATTAGCCAAAAATAACGTCTTCAAAAATCAGGTGCACTTTTCCCAAGCTGTGGTTGCAGCTGTAGTTTGTGTAAGTATTGAAAGATCCATAACGATCTTTCCTGATCCATAAAGATCATAGCCTGATCTTTAGCTACTGTAAATCACCATAACTTCATTGCAAATAACAGAGAATTTCCTCTTTCTCAGCAGAAAAAAAAAAAAGTAAAAAAGAAAAAAAAAGGAAAAGAGAAAAAAAAAAGGAAAAGCAGAAAGAGAGGTTGTCCCCTCTTCTTCATCAGGGACCTGCCCCATCACCTTCTCTGATGTAAACCGTTCACCATTCTGTGCAACCTGTTTGCACTACATGGCCACTTTTTTTTCCCCTACTTGAAATGGTTAAATAAACCCCCTCAGTATTTCATTCTGCTCATGATCTCTTACCTTCCTGTTTTCTGTGACCTCCTCCCTCCCATGCAGTAGATATAAATGAGATAACCCATTGGTAAGAAGAGGTGCTGAGTGTGCCATAAATGTCCTCGCGTTGCTTCATTCTGGTGATACCGCATGTGGATCTAGTGGGAGAGGCGGGGGGGGGGGAAGAGGAAGCCAAGCCAAGCCCATTGCGCTTAACATGACAGTGAAATTCCACCTTTTTATTCTTAGCATGGATAAGTGGGAAGACGGGAGAGACTTCGCGTTCACATGTTCGCGTGACAAAGCTGGTGGGCTCCCCGGCGAGGGTGGGCTCCAGCCCCGTGCCCGCAGCGTTCGTGGTTTCCTGCAGCGCGTGGTAAGGGTCCCAGGGACTGGACTGTCAGCCCACCCCCGTCTCGCAGAGGGCAGCTGCCTTCCAGGAGTGTTCCAGTTTTGCTGACGATAACGAGCCTCGGGCCGGAACCCGCAGGCTGTCTGTCGGGAGAGAGCGGTGATCTGCTTCGGAAACGCCTCCGGCATCTCTTGCCCTCCCCACCGTGCCCCGGGTGCCTGACGCACCGGCCGGCAATGCCACCAGCCTGGGACAGGCACTGGTGCAAGGCCAGGCTCACCAAAGGCGTTCAGCTGACGGGTGCTGAGCTCTGAAGTCGTCAGCCCGGGTTTGTTCTCCGAATTCCTGGCGGTTCGGCCCTAGCTCCGGGCTAGAAACAGCTGTTTTGTTCCCCATATTGACTGCGTCTTTGGTCTTTTGGCAAGACAGCCGCCGAGGTTCCGGGCTGGGACACGGGGCACGCCATGGAGCGCACCTCCCCTGGCATTCCCTGCGCCTGGGCAGGGTGCTCCAGCAGATGGTATTTCACATTGTCAGCCAGTTTAAACCGGCACCGATGGTCAGCTCTGCTCAGTGTAAGCAGGGGAAGGTACCGGAAAGTGTTAACTTGGGGAGCTGACTGCCTGCCTGTGTGTTTCGGTTGCCTTTTTGTTATTCCCTGAGCATCTCTCCTGTTTTCCCAGGCGGCTGTAAGAGATGCACGTCCCGCGCTGGCGCTGCCTGCTCCTCTCGGCCATACGGCTGCGGGGCCGTCCCGGCTGCGGG